CACAGGTGAATGAAAGAGGAGGGCATTTCAATCCGACGAAGTATTTTGTGGAGGAGGTGGTGACGGGGGTCGATGAGTCTGATCTGTACCGGACATGGATCAAGGTGGTCGCCACCCGCAACACCCGCGAGCGCAGCTCCAGGCTCGAGAACATGTGCTGGCGCATTTGGCATCTCACCCGCAAAAAGAAGCAGGTCTTCCTTTCTCCCGTGGGTAGATGTTGTAGAACAATGAAACTTCATGAAGGAAAACTCATCCTTTATTTTAGTAATTGTTTTCTGGTTTTGTCAGAAAATCTTATGATTATGGTATGTTTGAGGTAATTAAGGTTGTCTATTTACAATGGGGAAAACTTAAATTTTTTGCTTGTGGTGCAAATAGCTGGAGTCTGAAGAAAACCAAAGATTGGCAAAGAGGAGACGGGAACGGGAACAAGGACTCAGGGATGTCACAGAGGATATGTCTGAGGACTTGTCGGAAGGAGAGAAGGGAGATATTACAGGGGAAATGGTGCAATGTGAAACACCAAGGCAAAGGTTGCAGAGAAATTTTTCCATCTTGGAAGTATGGTCAGATGACAAAAAGGAGAAGAAACTTTATATTGTCCTCATCAGGTATCATCCTTGGTAGAACTTATTGATGGTCACTGTAACCCAAAGTACTAACTGGAATAGTTCATGCCTCATGTTAACAGTCATTGGCTTTCTTGTCTCTTAGGCTATGTTAAGAAGTCAGATGTTGCAGTCACTAGAATGATATCAATTGTTCTGTTCCAAATGCATTTTATCATTGGATATTTCAATTTGATGCTCAAAACTAGAGGGAAGGGTAAAAACTTGTCAAGTTAGAAGGGTTGCATCCAACTGGCTACTTTTTAAGGTGTTTTTGGGATTTCCAAAGCATTAGTTGCGCCTGAAATTCAAAAATGATAGTAATTGTAGTTCAAAGCGACAAATATCTTGACAGTCATATTGGGAATGATGGTTATTAGTCTTATAGTTAGCAACTTCTTTTGCAACCAATCAGTTGAAATGATTTGAGTTGTTGAACTAAAGACATCATCGAGTTGGTTATCTAACCATAGCTAGACTTTTTTCTCCTAGAGTTGCATGGTAGATGTTAATATGCTTTACATCCCACTATAAATTCTGATTTTATAATTCAGTAAAGGCAATATCTTTCAAAGCATGTAATTTATAATTGCATTTCTACTTACGAACAGTTTACATGGGCTGGTGCGGGGTGAAAACATGGAGCTTGGTAGAGATTCTGACACAGGTGGACAGGTACCTGCAGCATCCCAGTGCAAGTAGAAAATATCATTATGTACCTTTTCTAATCTCATTTCCTACTTTATGTTTTTTATGAAAATAATTTCTCAGGTCAAATATGTGGTAGAGCTTGCCAGGGCGCTTGCAAAGATGCCAGGGGTGTACAGAGTGGATCTTTTTACTCGCCAGATCTGCTCACCTGAAGTTGATTGGAGCTATGGTGAACCTACAGAAATGCTAACTGCAGGTGCTGAAGATGCAGATGGTAGTGATGTTGGAGAAAGCAGTGGGGCTTACATTGTCAGGATTCCTTTTGGTCCACGTGATAAGTATCTTCGTAAAGAGTTATTATGGCCCTATATTCAGGAATTTGTAGATGGAGCTTTAGCACATATTCTTAACATGTCTAAAGTTTTGGGTGAACAAATTGGTGGGGGTCGGCCTGTATGGCCATATGTTATTCATGGCCATTATGCTGATGCTGGGGACACTGCTGCTCTGCTCTCTGGCGCTTTGAATGTCCCAATGGTTCTAACTGGACACTCACTTGGGAGAAACAAGCTTGAGCAACTTCTTAAGCAGGGACGGCAATCAAAGGAGGATATCAACTCAACATACAAAATTATGAGAAGGATTGAAGGAGAGGAACTTTCCTTGGATGCTGCAGAACTTCTTATCACAAGTACCAAGCAGGAGATTGAAGAACAATGGGGACTTTATGATGGATTTGATGTCAAGCTCGAAAAAGTTTTACGTGCACGTGCTAAACGTGGAGTGGACTGTCATGGTCGATTCATGCCAAGGATGGCGGTATGTACATTTCCCTTTCCATTCCTCCTCCCCTCTCTTCCCCTTTCTGTATCTTTTGTGGTTTCGGAGACAATTTATTGGTTATTGCTTCCATTATTGTGAATTCAAATCTGAAAATTTAAATCAATTTCTGTTGCACTTGAGCTTGTAGCTCATTCAGTAAAGGGGAAGTTCCCCAACCTATACAAAATGAAAATGTCATTGCTCCTCAATCAAAGGCTCATTACTGCATTTCTATGATGCCTCTTATGCTCACTCTTCAGACTGCAAATTCTGCCTCTTGCATCAACTCATATCTCTATAGAACCAACTTAATGATCTTGAGCTTTACTTATTTCGTTTACGAACCTATATAAAATATGAAGATAAAGAAGTGGATTATAAATTTACATGATTCCTTGATTTCAATGGATGAGTGGCTGGGACGTTCTCTTTGAGTACTTAAGCACAATATCACTTCAGGTTATTCCTCCTGGCATGGACTTCAGCAATGTTGTGATTCAAGAAGATGCTGCTGAGATTGAGGGAGAAATTTCAGCTCACACTGCAGGTAGCGAGGTGTTATCCCCAACAGTTCCAGCAATATGGTCAGAAGTGAGTGTCTCATTACTTAATATATTTACTGATGGATGATAGTGGCACAAACATTCCGTCTTTATATCATAATAGCATATATGTTAACAGGTGATGCGCTTTCTTACAAATCCCCACAAGCCAATTATTTTAGCGTTGTCAAGGCCTGATCCAAAGAAGAACATAACCACACTCGTGAAAGCCTTTGGAGAGTGTCGGCCCTTAAGAGAGCTCGCCAATCTTGTAAGTCTGTATTGCAAGCAGGCTGATTTATATCTAGGCTAGAACTTGACTTGGAAAAAAAGGAAACTAATATTTTTCTATGCAGACACTTATCATGGGGAATAGAGACAACATTGATGAGATGTCTTCTGGAAATGCTAGTGTGCTTACTACAGTTTTGAAACTTATAGACAAGTATGACCTCTATGGGCTGGTAGCCTACCCAAAGCATCACAAGCAATCTGATGTTCCAGACATATATCGGCTTGCTGCAAAAACAAAGGTTTATTGGAGTTTGCCATTTTTAGCTCTAGCTTTGTGCAACTTTACAAATTATTTTCAGCACTATCTTTCTTCAATTTTAGTTGATAATTAGCTAACTGCACAGAAATATGACAGGGGGTTTTCATAAACCCGGCACTAGTTGAACCTTTTGGGCTTACCTTGATTGAGGTTAGTTTTGATTGATAACTTTCTTTTTTTTAATGTAGTGTCATAATCTTGTACTCAACCAATTGAAATTTTTATATGAATGTTTATCTTGAAACCCTGTAGGCAGCAGCACATGGGCTTCCTATGGTGGCTACTAAAAATGGTGGACCAGTTGACATCCAGCGGGTATGGCTATTTGTTTTTTTTTTTTTGGGCTTGACAGCAGGTGAGGATGACTTTCTTGCTTGCATGACTTTTCTCACCTTGAAGCTAGGAAAAGAAAAGAAAATCTACTGGGGGAACCGTTTGATGGAACTGCTATTAAGATAACATGAGATAGAGTGATTTCAACTATCATTTAATTCCTCTAACAGTGTTAAAACTGATTATTATTTTTTGTTATGGACATAGGCTTTGAATAATGGCCTCCTTGTCGACCCCCATGACCAGCAAGGAATTGCTGATGCTCTGCTTAAGTTGGTTTCAGAGAAAAACTTATGGCACGAATGCAGAAAGAATGCTTTGAAGAACATACACCTTTACTCATGGCCTGAACACTGCCGCACTTACTTGACCAGAGTAGCTGCCTGCCGGATGAGACATCCTCAGTGGCAAACTGATACTCCAGGGGATGAGTTGTTTGCTGAGGAAATATCATTCAATGATTCACTTAAGGACGTTCAAGATATGTCTCTTAGGCTCTCAGTTGATGGAGAAAAAACTTCCCTAAATGAATCTCTTGACCATGCAAGTGCAGCCAGTGGTGAAACTGAAATAGAAGATCAAGTGAAACGAGTGCTGAGCAAAATAAAGAAGCCAGAATCCGACCTAAAGGACACTGAAGGTGGGAAACATGATATTGTAGCAAGCAAATATCCAATTTTAAGGAGGAGGCGGAGATTGATTGTTATAGCACTTGATTGCTATGACAGCAATGGATTTCCAGAGAAGAAGATGACTGAGATTGTACTAGATATACTCAAAGCTGGGCGATTGGACCCTCAAACTGCAAGAGTCACAGGGTTTGCTATATCAACAGCAATGCCTGTGTCAGAAACATTGAACTTCTTGAAATCAGCAAAGATTCAAGTCACTGAGTTTGATTCTTTGATTTGTAGTAGTGGGAGTGAGGTTTATTACCCGGGCGCTTACACAGAAGAAGACGGGAAACTTTTTCCAGATCCAGATTATGCCTCACATATTGACTACCGCTGGGGTTATGAGGGTCTAAAGAAGACCATATGGAAGCTGATGAACACACCTAATGATGACGAAAAATCTCATTCTTCTTCCAGTCCCATTGAGGAAGACGTGCAATCAAGCAATGCTCACTGTATCACATGCTTGATAAAGGATCCAAAGAAGGTGCACATACAAATATGATTATTATAGCACAAGTAGTGTATTGCTTTCCATGTTTTGGCATTAATTCTAGATTACTTTCGCAGGTAAAGAAAGTGGATGAAATTAGACAGAAGCTTAGGATGCGTGGTCTTCGTTGCCATCCAATGTATTGCAGAAACTCTACTAAAATGCAAACTGTTCCTCTACTTGCATCAAGAGCACAGGCACTGAGGTATTATATACAGCTAGAAGTATTTTTACCTTTTATGAAAATACCAGTATGTTTTGGTTACAAATTTGAGCGGGCTCATTTTGTCACATTTCAGTGACATTTTCTTATTCTTGTCCTTTCTCAAGGAACTTTATGATACTATTTAGAATTTAGACATTTAGTAGTCATTTGGCCTTGCTTCCCTAAACATTTACGTGAAAGAGTTCTTGCTGATTCTGGCACTTGGAATCAGACTGGTTATTTGCAGTCTCTGCATTAGGAATAAACTGCACTGCAATAATGTTTTCGCAAACCAAGTGGAATGACTTCATTTTAACGTTTTATTTTAAGAAGTTTAATTAGCTTGATACTGATTGTGTTCTACTCTTACAAAATCACTTTTTCTTCTGTTTTTGTTGTTCAATCTTTGCATCTGATGACCAGATACCTCTTTGTTCGGTGGAGATTGAATGTTGCAAACATGTTTGTGATCCTTGGCGAAACAGGAGACACTGACTACGAGGAGTTGATATCTGGGACTCATAAGACTCTTATCATGAAAGGTGTGGTGTCAAAGGGTTCTGATAAACTGCTCAGAGCAACTGACCTAAGTGACGACATGTTCCCTACTGAGAGCCCTTTTATCACATCCATCAGCGATGGAGCAAAGGCAGAGGACATTGCCAATGCTCTAAAACAAATATCCCAAGCAGGTCAGTAGGAACTCCTGCTCTTTGCAGAATGTAAGTCCAGTCAATGTTCTTCAGGATTTCATTCGAAAGTCCTTTTAGAATCCCTTTTTAGTGCTACAACTCTGTACATAATGCATGTTCACTCTGGATGCATCAACAGATATTTTTCCAGTTGTATCTAAATAAGTTTTCTCAAACTTTTGTTACCAGGTATCATGTATATAGAAACTGATTTACTGGTATAGAACAGTTTTGCTCCGCCAAAAATGAAGTTTAATTTCCTTTTACATCATTGTTCTTGATATATCTTTTCTGAGTAATGATACAAGCATCGATACTTACGAATTTAAGAGGTGACTTAGGTAGCTGTAAAATTTTACCCTTTTTAATAAAAACCCAAATTAGTCAGTGGGGTTGGGGTCTGTGTACGTGGCAAGCCACGTAAGTCACCTTCTAAATTCGTTCTGTAAGTATCGGTGCCTATATCATTACTCATCTTTCCTCCTTCAAAATATTTCTTGAGTGTAGTTGCTTTTTCTTTGAACCAAACACAGTTTTGCTTATTGGTTCGGGAATGATGGAAGTTGGTGACTTTGACACAGAATTGGAATAAAATATTAATAGAGGAATATATGTATGGAAAGATTCTTTATTGATGGGTATAAAGTATATTGAACAACTTGATTATTGTGGAATCCAAACGTGGCTTGAAAAAGAACCAGAATCAGCCAGTATTTTTTTTCTATTTAAGTGACGACTTCTCAGGTAGAAAATTGCTCCACTAATTAAAGCACTTTTCCAACACTAATTTAAGTCCCCATTCAGTTTTTTCCTAGAAGATAATCAGAAGTTTCCTTTTCTTTTCCTTTTATTCCCTCATAATAAAACTGACTTCAAGTGGAGAGAGAGAGAGGGAAGACTTCAAATAAACTTTGGGTGCAAGCAAAGTCATGGGTGTTTGTCCTTTCTAAATTTTAAAATTTTTTATTAAGACATTTTTTACATACTATAACTTTAAATTTTGAAGATTTGATTATAACATACATAAAAGTATTTTTTCTAAATTAAGTATAGAATAACGAATCTTAGTTGAAAAGGCTAAGATTTTATAACATTAATTTTGCAAATCAATCTTGTAGCTATGTTACTTTAACCAAAATAAATAAATAAATAAAGGCATAAAGATCATTTCATTGTAAATTAATGGAAATTAAGATTATTTGTCCAAATTAAAAAAAAGGAATACTTAATATAAAAAATATAAAAAAATAACATAATTATAAAATTACACATCATATTTTAAATTTATAATTTTATATAATATTATAATTTATAATCATATTATAACCAAATAAATAATAATGATAAATGAGTGAGTGCTTAAATGATTTTTTTTTTAGCTTAAATTTTCTCCAATAAGGGTAAAAACTGATTTTTAAAGGAAGCTTAGTGGCTTATATTTGTGTTTTGCCAACAACTCGCGTAAGGGTGCTTACAACAGAAACATAATATGGTATTTCAGCTACTGCATCTTTTTCATCATTTGATTGGTTGCTTACTTTTCTCCTTTCTTTCGTCATTAAATTCTCCCTCGCACGCACTCTGTCACAACAGAATCAACCAAACAACCCAAAGTCAGCTTCATCCCTTCCGCCGACCGCCGAGAAGGTGAAACATCATTTCCATCAGCCATGGCGGACCAGAATCAGACGGCTCCGAAGCTCCCTATTCCCGGGAAGCGGAACATCCTGATCACCAGCGCCTTGCCATACGTCAATAACGTGCCTCATCTCGGCAACATCATTGGCTGTGTGTACTCCTCATCAGAATCCTAGTATCATATCTCAATACATGTCTGCCTGATTAATTGACTTTTTTTGGCTCCTTAATTTTAAGGTGTTCTGAGCGCCGATGTGTTTGCCCGGTACTGCCGTCTGCGAGGGTATAATGCGATATACATGTGTGGTACCGATGAGTACGGGACGGCGACGGAGACCAAGGCAATTGAAGAAAAATGCTCGCCTAACGAGATTTGTGACAAGTAGTTCCTGGAAATGAAGATTTGAAATTCCTGTTTTTGCTTTGAAATGGATTTAGAATCATGAACTGTTTGTAATTTTTTTGATTTCTGGAATTTTTAGGTACCATGCCATTCACAAACAAGTTTATGAATGGTTCGATATAAGTTTTGATAAATTTGGGCGTACTTCAACTCCACAGCAGACTGAAATTTGCCAAGCAATTTTCAAGAAGCTGTTGGAGAACAATTGGCTTTCCGATCACACTATGCAACAGGTAAAGAGCCAATTTCCGGTGAAAATGCTTTAGGGGCTCTATTTGTGTTCCATTTTTGTTTACGGTGCTGACCTTTGTTGGACTTGTTTCTTGTTGCAATTTAGCCTTATTGCATTAATTGCGAAAAGTTCTTAGCTGATCGGCTGGTGGAAGGTACCTGTCCTAAAGAAAGCTGTAAATATGAATCTGCTCGAGGTGATCAATGTGCAAATTGTGGAGATATGTTGAATCCCACTGACCTAATAAACCCAAGGTGTAAGGTACCGTAGATATTTATTGTTTTCTTCTTCATTTTTTTCACTTTTTCTAATTTTGTTTGGTGAATCACTGTTTATTAGTCTTATCTTACAAGCAGCACTTCAGTAATTATAAAAATATAAGTGAAGGCTGAGAAGTTTTATTGGAGCAGTTTGATGAAACCCACAACTAAGCTAAACTTGCATAGTGATACGAATGACAAGATAACTGTCAATGAGTGATTGGATTCATATTTGGTAATATATTGATGATTTAGTGCTATATGAAGCTTCTTATCTGAGTGAAGTCTTTTGAAGGAAAATTACAAATGAAGACCATTGAGCAAAATAGCGGACTAGTTTTACACATCTTAATGAAGATAATTTCACAGTTTTATATTTGCATCTATCCTTATGATGGTTGAGCTAAGATTTCTAAATAGGTCTGTCAAACCACTCCAGAAATCCGAGAGACAAGGCACTTGTTCCTTGAGCTTCCATTACTGAAAGATAAATTGGTAGAGTATATTGACAAAATGTCAGTGGCTGGAGGTTGGAGCCAAAATGCTATTAATACAACTTCTGCATGGCTTAAAGAAGGACTTAAAGAAAGATGTATTACTAGGGATCTGAAGTGGGGGGTTCCGGTTCCACATGAGGATTTTAAGGATAAGGTAAGAAAACTTATGTGGTAGTGATAAATGCAAAGGATATATTTTAGTTCTTGTTATGTATTTTTTCTGATTTATATTATACATATTTTAAACTTCTGACGATGATTATAGGTTTTCTATGTCTGGTTTGATGCGCCTATTGGATACATCTCAATTACTGCATGTTACACTCCATATTGGGAGAAGTGGTGGAAAAATCCTGGCAATGTGGAGCTTTACCAGTTTATGGGCAAGGATAATGTTCCATTTCATACTGTAAGCATCATCTTGTTCACATAGAATAAAAGCATCAACCTGTTCAGAATCTCCTCAAGTGTATTGAGAAAGAAAGGTGCTAAGCTGATTGATTTTTGCATATTCTAAATTTTGATGAAGTATTTTTTACAAAAATAAAATAAAATAAAATAAAATTTTCTCTCAATAATTTCAAAACCTCTCATCAGTCACTACTTGAGTTCTCAAGCCCATCTCTGATTAAAAAATAAAAAAATAGAATACAGTGAGTAAAACCTTTCATGCAAGCTAGATAGTGCAAGTAGGCTTGGAAGGCTTGAGGATGATATTCCTTGAATGCTGGACTCTCTATTTGTTTGAAATGATAGATGGGCACCCCCATTTCATTCTCAGAGAGAGAAATGCCTATTGCAAGAAGCTTTAAATTGAAAAGCTTCATTGCTTGCAGATTTTTAGTTGACTAAGGTGGTGATCCCTTTAGTTGGCTAAGGTGGTCCTTTTAGTTGGCAAGAGCTTGGAGGCCAAAAGTTCTTCTGCCTCTGTAACTCTTCTTCTGCCTCTGTAACTCTTTGGTTGACTAAGGGAGTCTATTTGGTAGGCTGTTGCTGTGCTATGTTTTCCCATCTTCTCTGCAATCCTTAAGTTGAATATGGTGTTTCCTTTGGCTTACTAAAGTCTAAAGGGATGTCTTAGGACTCCTGAAGTTGCCTTTGTCTAATTTTTTAGTCAGGATGGCCTTGCTTTGGTGGTTTTCTCCTTTAAATTACTTTAATCAATTTCATTTAACATTTTGAAAATCATTATCATGGAGTTAGCATTTCTAGGGAAGATTGGTGAACACCATAGCTCATAGTTACTCAATGGCACGTAGCATAACAAAGTCTATTTGTCTCATACTAATCAATTGTTGCTTTCATAACTCTCACTTCTCTACTTTGTGATGCTAGTATTTACTCCCCACAAATGCATTTTGTTGTGCTTGCACTTAATGAAAAAACTATAGATAAAAAAATCCCACTTTTTTTTTTTTTCTCTATCTTTAAATAATCTTCATTTTTTAAACCATATAGGTCTATATTTCAGGTTATATTTCCATCTACACTTATAGGAACTGGTGAAAACTGGACTATGATGAAGACTATCAGTGTGACAGAATACTTGAATTATGAAGCTGGTGAGCAACTACTGATCCTTTATTAACCAATACGGAATGGTGGAAGGACTGATTTTGCATTTGCATTGGATGAATGCTAGATAACCTTTAACTGATTTCGCATTTTATTATGTTCTTCTAATTGAAGATTTATTTGCATGGTTTCTGCAGGAAAGTTTTCTAAGAGTCAAGGCATAGGTGTTTTTGGTAATGATGTAAAAGATACAAATATTCCTGTTGAGGTCTGGCGATACTACTTGTTAACCAACCGACCTGAGGTAATTGTGTTCACAGTGTCTGTTTGTGAACCGTTCTTTTCTTTTCTTTTTTTCTGGTGATACTGTTTGTTAACCAACCGACCTGAGATAATTCTGTTCACAGTGTCTGTTTGTGAACCGTTCTTTTCTTTTCTTTTTTTCTGGTGATACTGTTTGTTAACCAACCAACCTGAGATAATTCTGTTCACAGTGTCTGTTTGTGAAATGTTCTTTTCTTTTCCTTTTTAAAAATCTTTGATACTGCCTTTTGTTTTTATTGTGTTGTAAATATTAGGTGTCTGATACCCTATTTACATGGAGTGACTTGCAAGCAAAACTGAACAACGAGTTGCTAAGCAATTTAGGCAACTTCATCAATCGAGTTTTAAGTTTCATTGCAAAACCTACAGGTTAGTCAGTTGCTCCATATCAAGCCTATAATTTCCACTACTTTGTTTGTTCACATAACTTTGACTGCAAACTTTTTATTTAATAAAATGAATTTGGGGTGATGAGAAATTTTCTGTTATTTTTTATGAGAGGGTTGCAGGTTAAGTTCACGGTGTAACACCTTTGTACTTAAGCTCATGGTATTAGCTTTTTAACTATAAGAATGCATGTAACACTATAAATCTAACCTTCCTCTTAACAATTATCTCAGGTCTGTTATGATTAACCAAATTACTATTATGAGCATGGAATGATAAATATTTTCATTAATGGACTGATGCTATAACCTTCCATTTGCCATTTCTATTTACAGGTCAAGGATATGGCTCCATCATTCCTGATGCGCCAGGTGCAGAGTCACATCACTTGACAAAGACATTGGCTGAGAAAGTTGGTAAATACGTGGAACAATATGTAGAAGCCATGGAGAAGGTAACAATGTATTTTTACGACAGTACTTCAGATGATAAAAGACTATTAACCCTTCTCTCTAGAGCCTCACCTCCACCATATCTTTTTTTTTCCTTGCATTGCTTTTATACACTTTTCAACTTGAACTTTGAGTAGGTAAAACTAAAGCAAGGCCTGAAGCTTGCTATGAGTATCTCCAGTGAAGGAAATGGATATCTCCAGGTAAGATGGCAGACCTTTTAAAGCTCATTAGCTGTAAAGATTTCATTTTACTGTATGGTCTGTTATGAATGTGCATGCAGGAAAGTCAATTTTGGAAGCTTTACAAAGAAGATGAGCCTTCATGTTCTATTGTTATGAAAACTGCTATTGGGCTGATACACATCCTTGCATGTTTGTTGGAGCCATTTATGCCATCTTTTACAGTTGAGGTAAATATGGTTGGCAGAAAGCTTCATCTGTGGCAGTGTCATGCTAGGAATTTTTCTTTTTTCATGCAAGTTATATAAGATAATTTCTTACAAGTTCTTTTGCTTCTTTTATGCACATAAAGGTGTTTAAGCAGCTTAATCTGCCTCATCAAGAACAAGTTTCACTTTGTGATGAAAAAGGAGATGTAGATAGGGCTAGAAGACCATGGGAATTGGTTCCTGCTCATCATAGAATTGGAGAACCCAAGCCATTGTTTGAGGAACTGGTAGGTCATGTGTACTCTCTCTCTCAGTTGAGAGATTTTCTGGTGCCATCTCCTCCTTTCTGCTTATGCTAATGCAGTGGAAACTAATTGATGGTAGAAACTGGAGAGAGTGGATGAATTAACAGATAAGTATGCTGGCAGCCAAACTGAGAGAATGGCTAGGGCTGAAGCCGAAGCAGCAAAGATTGCTGAACAAATGAAGAAAACCAATATTTCAGGTTAAATTTTAAATTTGTTATTTAGTGGCATTTGGAATTTCTTACATCTGTCCATTTTACTAATTATGTCTTTAAGCACAGTTGCCCTTCTCTGATTTCTCATGAAAGCAATAGTCACAGCTCTGTTGTATGGATTTCTCATCCTAAGTTACTTCTATCTTTTGTTGGCCAAAAAAAGAATTATTTCTAAGTTACCGAAGTTGCTCATTCATAGTCAGCTTAGTCATTCTGCATCATGCTTATTGATAAGACAATAAATGCATGAAGGGTCTTGTAGAGGTGCCTCTACTGTAACTATATCAAAATTATGATGCAAGGATTTGATAATCATAAATAGTCGATTAAAAAAATATTTTATTCTAATTGAACTTCTAGCCTTTTCTTGTACTTCATGAGTCTAAAGAATTTGTTTTTCTTACGCTGTTAAATGCTTTTTTTTTTTTTATTTGAGCTTGCACTTACATGTGTAACCTTATTATTGTAACAGATGGCAAGAAACAACAGCCATCAAAATCTGCAGCTGAAACTAAATCTAAGACTGCTGCTGAGCCCAAAATTTCAATTACCAGACTTGATATCCGAGTTGGGAAAATTTTGAAGGCTCAGAAGCATCCTGATGCTGATTCACTGTATGTTGAGGAGATTGATGTGGGTGAAGCACAGCCTCGAACTGTTGTCACTGGACTTGTCAAATACATACCGCTGGAAGAGATGCAGGTTCTTTTGTCCTAATCCTTAAAAGATACTGCAATACTTCTGGGGTTTAGGAAAGACCTGGGAGAGAGGGTTGGGTCGGGTGAAGTTTCTAAAATAATTCATTAAAATAATTCTTGTGCAGGAGCGAATGGTCTGTGTACTTTGTAATCTGAAGCCAGCAACCATGCGGGGTATTAAATCACAGGCAATGGTTCTTGCGGCTTCCAACAGTGATCACACAAAGGTAAGCTGACAAGATACCTTCTTCACTTGGATACTCTGGTGCCTTGTTCCCCATCTTTTTCTGATGACATTATCCCAATGCTCTAGGTTTTGATTTTTGTTGTTTTTTGATTAAAGGCTTAACATGTTATATACCTCCTAATAATCCACTTGCTAAAATTGTTTGGTCCTTAAACTTCACTTTAGTTAATATTCATTGTAGACTTGTGCCTGGAAAATTCATATTTGATGGAATGTAGAAATTTAGTTCTGATATACGACTTGTAACTAAGCTTGGGATTGGTTCTGTTTATCTTCAATGCTTGTCTTCATTGTTGGGGTATGCATGTGTTGCGTAGACCTGTTGTTAACACCTCTGCTGTTACGATGCCTTTCAGATTGAATTGGTTGAACCACCCAAGTCAGCTACTGTTGGGGAGCGAATTACCTTTCCCGGTTTTGAAGGTGAACCAGATGACGTTTTAAATCCAAAGAAGAAGGTTTGGGAGACGCTGCAAGTGGATCTGCATACTGATGCAGATCT